CTCTTTTATTTTAAAGATTTTATCTATTTATTTGACAGAGAAAGAAACAGCACGAGCGGGGTGGGCGTGAGGGGCAGAAGGAGAAGGAGAAGGAGAAGCAGGCTCTCCACGGAGCAAGGAGCCCAAAGCGGGGCTCAATCCCAGGACCCTAGGATCATGACCTGAGCCAAAGGCAGACAAGCAACAGAGCCACCGAGGCGCCCCTCATAGTTGCTTTGAAATATAAGCTTAGGGGAATCCCTGGGTGGCTCAGCGGTTTGGCGCCTGCCTTTGTTTGGCCCAGGGCGTGATCCTGGAGTCCTGGGATCGAGTCCTGAGTCGGGCTCCCGGCATAGAGCCTGCTTCTCTCTCCTCCTGTGTCTCTGCCTCTCTCTGTCTATCATAAATAAATAATTAAATAAATAAATAAATAAATAAATAAATAAATCTTAAAAAAAAAAAGAAATATAAGCATAGTTAACCTCTAGAGTGTGTTCCTTTCAGATAGTTTTGCTAGTTGTGAGGGTGTGGTGCATAGTTCCTTGACAGATATCTATTGAGCACTTACTTTGTCCCAGATCCCTTACTAGGCATCGAGTCAGGTTCCGACTTCACAAAATAGACAACTCCTGCCCTCGTTAGCATTTTATCATAATCCATTCTTGTATTTTGCATACTCCTCATAGATTTTAATACCTGCAGATTTTATTGTGTCATATGAATCCATTTGAGTAATAATTTTCCTAGAATTGGACATTTCTAATTATTCGATGTCCCCCCCCACACACATTTAGAATGTTTCCTTAAGATACATTTCTTGAAATGGAGAAAGTTGGTTAAAGGGTGTGAACACATTTAAGGTTCTTGACCCAGACTTCCAAATTGCTTTGTAAAAGGTACTAACTTTGATTGCCACTGGACGTGGACAAACGGAAACTTTTTTTTTTATCAATTTGCCAGCAATGATTATCATCACTAAACATTGTTTTTGTTGTTGATGAGTTTTAATTCTCTTTTTTTGATAACTAGCAAGGTTTCAGGTTTTTTTTTTTTAATACAGTCAAGCAAATGAAGTTCTTTGAAAATTTTTCTGATCATGCTCTTGCTCTATTCAAGATGCTTCCATTTTATTTTCATGTGTATGAGCTCTTTACAGATAAAGACCTGAGCCTTTTTGGCATTTACCCTCCTTCAGAGTTATCACAAAAGAGAAAAGCAGGAAATGATCACTGAGTTTTGGGCCCTGATGTACTTGAAGTCAAACTGAGGCTTAGGCACCTGTCCATTTCCAGGGCTTAACCTAGGGTGGGCACACAGCGGGCTCTCCATCCAGGACGCGGTGGACGAGCACACAGGTGTCAAGCCGTGCATTGGGTTCTGGGGTGTCCAGGGACACGGAGACTGACAAGGGCAAAGACGTGGCTTCCTAAATTCAGCCTGGGCCAAGGAATGACTTTCTGGGAAACCCATCCATGTTTATGGGTAGGAAGAAAAAAATATCATAGCCAGAGGACAAAAGGATACAAGCAACTGGGTAGCATCGGAGAGAACCTGAGAGAAGGAAAGGGGTAAAATGAAAAGCTAGTGAGAGGAAAGAAACCAAAACAGAGATAGACAAAGCAAATTTATTCTGCATCCATCCATCCTTCCATAGGACATGCACAGGGTGTCCTATGTTGGGAGGTATGTTGCTATGGTGGGCGATTAGAAACGATCGGCGGCCTCACCAAAGCTTATCTAACTCCTCAATTCAGAAACGTCTTAGGCAACTCAAATGATCTATTCCTGTAAAATTCTTGGTTATACACGCATATGCTTAAGTACACATGTAACGCTAAGACTCATTGGAAGGTTCAGGAGAGAGCGTCTCCCCAGCTACAGATTTCGGGGGCCTGCCTTCTCTGCCCTTATAACAATAGGTCCCTCTTGGTCACAAAATCTGGGGGAAAAAAGAGGAGAGAAGGTAATAATTATGGCACCATCTGTTGCCATTGGATAGAGTATCTTCTCACCCCTGCCTCTCTTGGGGTTGTGAGTGAGAAGCTGGCAAGGCCCCAGGCCAACAAGAAAAAAACAGGGGACTGAGAGGGGACAACCTTCTGCGGTAGCCGGTGTCCGCTTTGTCGTACTCTTTTGAGGGTCATCTGGGAAAATTTTTATTATATACTTTATGGAATAGTTTGCATTAGGTCAAATTTATATTCCTTCCGGAGAGCCTATGAAACATGATCCCTAATTTCAAGGGTAGACGTTGCAAAAACAAGAAAGAGGTAATTACCAAAAAAGGGTGTCCTGTGGGAAAGAACTTTGAGTGAGGAACCGTTCAGAATTTACAAGTTGCCCCTGGTCGAGATGGTGATGTGATCTGACCTTGGAGATCTGTGCGCTGGAAAGGATCACCCGAAGGATACCTTTAGTCAGGTGAATGAAGGCAGCTGAGTACCCAATATTTTGGGGGCAGGTCACCTCTCTCCCTAACCTTAAGGAGCCGTTCATTCTCTTTATGGTGGCTTTGGTCATCCCCTAAGTACTGACTATTGAGCAACTATTATGTGCCAGCTACTTTGCCAAGAACATCATCTATATTATCACCTATTCATTCCTCCAGGCCTAGCTCACTGTTCTTTTTAACCCACCCATGACTTATGTCCCCAAGCCGAATTAATAATGCCACTACCGGTTGACTGATAATTAACACACTCTACTCATTCTGTTCGCTCCTTGAATGCAGCTCTTCTCCCACGGCCCACGCTTCTACCTGTCCCCCTCAGTTCCTCAGTCCTCCTGAGCTGGACAGGACCAGCACCCACGCTTTATTCCAACTTCCCAGCATCTGGTAGTCCCCACGTGCCACATTCCGTTGAGTGGAACCACATGACTTCAAACTCTTGGAAGAATCCCGGAATTGCTGAGCAGGAGGGCGCCTGGAACCTTCGCTGGCTACAAGCTCCTTTCACACAGGAGGAGATTTAGGTTCGCACAAGTAACTTGCCTGAGGTCACGTAAACCTGATAGGACGAAATCAGAATCCAGTTCCCTTGCTTTTCAGCCCAGTGTAGATGCTACCGAGACACAACTAAGTATCTGTATTTCCCAATCTCCTGGCCCCACCCGAATCCTATCAGCAACTGGCCTTTGGACCTTCAGGCTATTTCTGTGATAATCTATTTTCTAAAAGAGCCCACTTCCATACACAGCTTTTCTTTCATTGCTCCGCATTCCAAACAGGAAAGTCCAAACTCCAAATGGGCTGGCTTGAGCCCTTGAGCCGCAGCATCGGTGTAAAAGTTGGGAGTGGTGGTGGCGGTGGTGGGTGGGGTGGGGTGGGGGGGGACCTTCTGTGTATATTTTTACCAAGTTCTGTCCACATGCAGCCTTTGGTCCCCACAAATCAAAACGCTTGTCAACACACATAGCAGGCTCCCTCTTCCCCATCTCTTGAGACCTGGTGGTTGTGCTGACTCGAGGATCCTTCCTCCTCACCAACCTGGCGAACCCCAAGGATCTGCTCCCCTCCTGGACTGGGCGCTTCGGGCACCGCGAGCTGGCTTGGCCCTCGCACCGCGTTTTGGGCGGACTGTGTGCAGCACCGAGCAGCAGGGTGCACCGCGTGCCTCTGCATCTGGAAAATTACAGAAATGTGACTTACTCCTCGCAGTTGTACGCACCCTTAACCCAAACTTTCCTACTTGTTGGAGAAAGTAAGTAAAATATGTTGGTGCATTCAGTACCCCCCCCCCCCCCCGCCCGGCTGCAGATTTCTTCTCTTTCTTCCTTTGAGTCCGGTTGCTCTGTTATGGCTGCTGGTCCCGCCGCCTCCGGGAGCTGCACAGGCTCCAGCACCCCTGGCCCTGCCCCTGCCCCTGGCCCTGGCCCCGGCCGGACAGGGATCCACAGCTTCCCGCGGGGCTGCATCACTGGAGCACGTTCCCAGGAGCTGGAGGACATCTGGGCGGCCCACAGGAAGTTCTGGTACTTGGGATCCCATAGCAGAGAAGGTGCTGGAACGAACAAGACCGGCCCGGAGGACGCCCCTCCGAGGCTGCCCCTGCGCGCACGCTCCGACCCAGCGTGGCCCAGGGCTCCCCGCTCCAGGACGGTTGCCCGGCGTGCACATGGGGCCAGGCCGGCAGGGGAGGCAGCCTCGGAGAGCCCCGCGAGCTCAGGCTGCAGCAGGACGTTTACCCCCCCCCCCGCCCCCGATTGGGATTATTTTTTAAGTTGTGAAAGCATCCGAAGGGCTGGCTGCCCCTCGGGCGCGCGGAGGGCCAGAGCCAAGCAGAGCGCGGTCCCCTGGGCTGTCAACCCTTCCTTCCTCCTGCTTCGATGCCCGATGCCCTCGACCTCGTGTTGGCCTTGGGGCTCCGGGGCGGGCCGGGGGGAGCGGGGGGGGGGGCAGGAGCGGCGCGTCCTCACCGCCCCCCTCGGGCCCCGCCTCCACCCTCCCGGGGCCCGCTCCACGACCCCGCAGGTTTGCAGGCTCCCAGGGCGGGGGCTCCCGGGCGCGCATCCAGGGCCCTGCGCGCCCCGGGGGGCCTCGGGCGCACCCCCCTCCCCTCCCCTCCCCTCCCCCTCCGGAGCGTGCACGGAGGCGCCGCGGGCGGGGGTGCGGGGTGCGGGGTGCGCGCGCGGGGGCGGGTAGCCCAATGGGCAGCCTCGCTCGGGAGGCGGGCTCAGGCCGGAAGCCGTCCCCGCGCCCCCGCCCTCCCCGGCCGAGGGCGGCAGGGTCCCCGCCCGCGCTCTTTGTCCGGGGCCCGCGTGCGCCCCCGCATCCCCGCGTCCCCCGCGCGTCCTCCGCGGAGCTCCCCGGCCGGGGGCGCGGGCAGGCGGGCGGGCGCGCGGGCGGGGCGGGCGGGGCGGGCGCGCGGGAGGCGCTCGTGCCCGGCGGCCCCGGGAGCGCGCGCCCCTCCGCCCTCCGCCCTCCGCCGCCGCCGCCGCCGCCGCCGCGGCCGCCGCCGCCGCCGCCGCGCCCGCCCCTCCCCCTCCCCCGCGGCCGCCGCGGAACTTGCTGACTGCGCGGCCGGGAGGAGCCGAGCCGGGCGGCGGCGGCGGGAGGCCACAGCGCGCGGGGCTGCCCGCGTCCCGGGAGCGCGCCCTCCCCCGCGGCCCGCACCCCGCGCCCGCGCCCCGCACGCTCTATTTATTTATTTATTTATTTATTTATTTACCTATCTATCTCTCATTATTTATTTATTTTTTATCATCATCACCGTTATTATTATTATTATTTTTTTTTTTGCATCTGTCCCCCTCCCCTGCCTTCCCCTGCCTTCCCCTGCCTTCCCCTGCCGCGGGCGCCGGGCGGCGCCACCCTCCGGCCGGAGCGCGGTACTGCACGGCCCCCGCCGACTTTCAATGTTCCACGCTCCCCGGCCGGAGCCTCCGCGGCTTCTTTTTTTCCCTCCCCCCCCTCCCCCCCCCACGGCTGCCTCCATTTCCTCAAGGAAGGGTTTTTTTCGCTCTCCCTCCCCCACAGCGTAGCGGCGCGCGAGCGGGCCGGGCGGGCGGCCGAGGTGAGGCGGCGGGGCCGGGGGCGGCGGGGGGCGCGGGCGGGCGGGGGCGGGGCGGGGGCGGCAGCTTTGTTCGCGGGCGGCGGGGCGGGGGCGGCGGCGGCGGCGGCGGCGGCGGCGGCGGCGGCGGCGGCGGCGGCGGCGGCGGCGCATCCCTCGGCGGCCCCCGGCGCCCTCCCCACAAAGGGCCGCGGGGCTGCGGGGCCGCCGCGGCTCGCCGGGCGCGGGGATGTGCTGCTGCACTTCTTGCGGCTTTTGTTTGTTTGTGTTTGCCTCCTCTTTCCCTTTTTTTTTTTTTTTTTTTTTTTGGTTATTTCTGGACAAAATGTCGGTCCGCGATGCGAGCGTGGAGCAGGGGGGCCGGGGCGGCGCGGGGAGCTCCGCGGGCGGTGCAGCCGGGCGCCCGCTGCCCCCGCGGGGCCGCTCGGGGGAGCTCGGGGGAGCTCGGGGGAGCTCGGGGGAGCCCGCCCGGGGCACCGGCCGGCGCTGCTCGGCCCCCCCGCGTCCGCGCTGCAAGGGCCGGCGTGCACCGAGCAGGAACCGCCACCCCAAATAGGCACGGGGGCCATCAACAGGGTCCGCTCTCCTCCTGCAGAAGGGGAATTGCACGGTCTGCCTGGACCCGTGTCAGCGCCTAAATACTGAGACGTTAGTGACTCCTCTCTCTCTCTCTCTCTCTCTCTCTCTCTCTCTCTCCTTTTTTTTTTTGCACATTTTTCAGCCCCAGATCTGTTATGCACAAGGTGTCCTCAATGCTCGTCGCCTAAGTTCCCTGGCAAATCTGTCTCATGCCTTCTGAGAAACTACACAATTGATAGATTGTCCAAGGGATGGTGGGGGGGGGGCGGGGGAAGGAAAAAAAGAAAAAAAAATGTGAGTGGGTTTTTTCTTTTTTTTTTTTTTTCCCTCCGAACTTGAGTTCGGCCAAGGCTTGGACGTGGTGAGACACATCACCTCCCCGTGTAACCTTGCTGGGTGATGATGAGATCAGTGTGAGCACTGGCAAGTGTTTCTCATTAAAATGCGAATGTAGGGGAACCTTGGGAGGAGAACGTGCTGTTGTTGGTTGATTTCTCAGGCTTAATATTTCCTTTCTCTCTCTCTCTTTTTTTCCCCCCTCTCTTTAAAAGTTTTCTAAGAAGTAAGTTCACCAAGATGTCCAGTGATAGGCAAAGGTCCGATGATGAGAGCCCCAGCACCAGCAGTGGGAGTTCAGATGCAGACCAGCGGGACCCCGCCGCCCCAGAGCCCGAAGAACAAGAGGAAAGAAAACCTTCTGCCACCCAGCAGAAGAAAAACACCAAACTCTCTAGCAAAACCACTGCTAAGTTATCCACTAGTGCTAAAAGGTAACGTGTCAGAAAAGGACGAAAGCACATGATTCCGGTTGTCTTCCAGACAACTCACTGTTGGTTTTTTTTTTTTTTTTTTTTTTTTTTTACATCACTAGCCAGGGTTCAGAGATATTTACTTGGCGATCACTTCTATTTGCACTTGAATAGCTTGTCATTCTTTAGGTGGGACGTAAGGCACCTCCCTAGAACTGTACTTCTAAGGGAACTTAACTCTGTACTTTGGTTAACTTCAGGGAGAGTGTCCTTGAGTAGAGAGAGCTTGGACTCCCATTCTGACAGATTGTTTGAGGAGCTGGCAAGGGAAATTTGGTGTGCCCAAATTAGCTGGTACATTGAGGATGTTCCTTTTTATGAGTCATACTCTTCTTCTTCTTCTTCTTCTTCTTCATTGAAATTGACACTTCTGGAGGATCAGCAGCGCCTCTCCATGAAGCCTGATGATTAGAAAGGGGAGTGTGTTTGCTAGGAAATTTGTCAATTCAAGGCCTGGACTATATTGGAGAGCAGATTTAAAATTTGGGCTCCCCTTTGCTTTCAGTTTTGCAGATAAGGACTTTAAGTCCCACATCCCAGGTAACTGCTCTTCTGTAGTTAACGGTTGGTTGTGCCTCTCTATTCTCGTGAGCGCGCATAAAACTGCAGAGGAGGGATCCCTGGGTGGCGCAGTGGTTTGGCGCCGGTCTTTGGCCCGGGGCGCGATCCTGGAGACCCGGGGTCGAATCCCACGTCGGGCTCCCGGTGCGTGGAGCCTGCTTCTCCCTCTGCCTGTGTCTCTGCCTCTCTCTCTCTCTCTGTGACTGTCATAAATAAATAAAAAAAAAATTAAAAAAAAAAACTGCAGAGGAGCCATTTACCATTTTGGATGGCACCTGGCTGTCGAAAACTTTCATTGTGTTTGTGGCCCTTCCCTCTGAAACTTGTGGATCTGCTTGACGTGTTAATACCCCACAGCAGAAGAAACCTGTTTTGATGGGTATATACGAAAGGCCGTTTGTTTCCTGTTGATTTATATTATCTTTGATGGCAAAAAAGAGAGAGAGAGAGGGATCCCTGGGTGGCGCAGCGGTTTGGCGCCTGCCTTTGGCCCAGGGCGCGATCCTGGAGACCCGGGATCGGATCCCACGTCGGGCTCCCGGTGCATGGAGCCTGCTTCTCCCTCTGCCTGTGTCTCTGCCTCTCTCTCTCTCTGTGTGACTATCGTAAATAAAAAAAAATTAAAATGTTAAAAAAAAAAAAAAGAGAGAGAGAGAGAGAGAGAGAGAGAGAGAGAGAGAGAGAAAGGATTCTGTCCAGGGGACTCCATTGGTGGCACTAGGGGAATATCCACGAATTCCATTAATTCTACGTCAGATATGTCTATAGCGTTAGCTCATATTGACATTTTGTTGGTTTTTATTGATCACGACTAAAGGGAGAAGAAAATATAAAAACTGTTCAAATACTGCGTTCTGTAGTGATTTCGAAGTACTCTTATTTTTCTGTGGACTTTCACCTCTATCAGTAATCCCGTATTAATAACTTGAGAATGTTTTATTAAATAACAGCAGTCTTTTAAATAATTTAGAGTCCCCCTCAATTTGCTGTAATCTTGTTGAGGAACGTGTTAAACACATCTTAAGTTTTGAAAGCGTTTTAAACTTGAATAAAATCAGAGAACTGCTTCCCCTGCTCTCTCCCCCCCCGCCCCCATCTCAAGGCTATATATCCTGGTATTTCTTTCCTTCCCACTTTACTCAGTCTTAGTCCTGTACTTAAATTAAGGTCAAGGAAAACAGAATTGGTTAAGTAAGAATGTCAGAGTCCTTGAGAAGTTTTTCACTGGTAAAGATGTTTGTGAATTTTAAACTTTTTTTGGCCCCAAATATCCTCAAAACTGTTAACGTACTCGTGTGCTAGCTTGCTGCTACTTACCTCTATAAAAGTGACTTGAAGTCATTGTCAAAAATTCTAGTGCTTTCCCTCCTCCCTTCTTGTCTCATTTGCATATAAGCTTGAAAAGAGAATTTCTTTGGTAAAAAGTGTTTTCAAATAGATCTTCTATCCTTTATTGAGTACTAGTAGAGGACTACTTCTCAAATCAGGTGTGCATGTCATACTTATTTACAGTAGCGAGTGAGAAAAAAAGCTGCAAAGTTTCTGTTAAGGGATTTGGGTTATGCCTCTGAGAACAAAGAGGAAGCAGCCATGTTAGCATTACTGAAGGCAAAGCCAGCCTTGCATTTAACTGCATGGTGGTAGAGGGCAGTGTAATTCCCCCGGTTATTCTGTAGACTACCTCAAATCCTTTTTGTCTGTTCTCATTTCACTAACAGAATTCAGAAGGAGCTAGCTGAAATAACTCTTGATCCTCCTCCTAACTGCAGGTAAGACACACATTTTGTTGTTCTGATTTTTTTGAAAGGTGGAAAAATATCAGGAGATTAACGTATCGGCTCTGGGTATGTGTGCTGCAGAAAAGCAGCTACTGTTTGCTTCTCTTCAGTTCTTGCAAGTGGAGCACATAAAAATTATCCGAGGTGAATTAAACCAGTTTGGGGGGGAAATACTCTTCAGCGTGTATCATACCTCTTAGATTTAGGAATAGACCGATTTCTGGGCTTCTTACTGACGTGGGTGTGAGTGGTGCTGATTTTTGTTCCGTTGTAACATCTCTGTGGGGTGTTTATTCAGAAGTATATTGCAGAAACTTCTAAAATTTTGCTCAGCTTTAAAGTTACTGCTCGTGTGCAATCTGAACTGACCTTCCAAATTTAGAAATCGCTGAATGTGGTGTTACAGAATGTAAATGCAGTAAACAAGAGTATAGTTTCTGTTTGATTTATTCAGTAATGTGCCTTAAGGACAAATTTTATGTGCTAAGCTAATGCTTTTAGTTGTTTTCTAGAGAATGCATTGGTGGAATTACTTACTTGTTAATCAAATGTCTTAATTACTTGGGAAAATCCTTAGGAGTCTTGGTCCTTGTAATATATATGTGTATGGAAAGCAGTAAATGAATTGGAATTTGTAGGAAGTATTCATTACAGTGACATCATGTAGGATAATTTAAAACGGTTGGTTGGTATAAGGTGCTTTAAAAGTAAGTGGTTGACAGTTCTGTTTGTGAACTGTTTTTTTTTTTTTTCTTTCCAGTTTGTCTTAGTGCTCTGTTTTCAGCAGTGACTATGTGGCTTCCAAAATTCATCAGACTTAGACAAAAAAAAAAAAAAAAACAGTGTTGTAGAGACTTTGCATACAGATATGTGCTCAAGAGCAAGAGTGGCAGCTAGAAACAAGGCAGGGTTACGGTTGGATAGGAAAATGATTTTCTCGTCCTAACCTGTATTTTTGATGTAAGTTGTGTTCACATGAGATGATCAGACCTAGCCCTGAAGTCTACTTGAGATGTAATTGGGTGTAACTCCATTGCTTCTTGCTTGTGTGTGTTATTAACCAGATCCTTGGATAAGGTGATCTGATCCTGATTTATTCAGTGAATTAACAGTTTTGCTGATATTCGTAATCACCTATTTCAGTTCAGAAGGCAAACGTGAATGTAAGCTAATTTTAAACAGGTAGTGGGTATGTTAGATCTCGAAGTTCTAAGAGCTGTGCTGTCCACTAATGCAGCCACTAGCCACTTGTGGCTCTTGACCACTTCAGTTGTCCAAAATGAGATGTGCTCTAAACGTAAAATACACGTCAGATTTTGAAAACATAGTACGAAGAAAAGAATGTACAGTATCTTAGTGATTTCTAAAACTACCTGTGACGTGTTTAAATGAGAAGTCGGGTATGTTGAGTCACATAGAATGTTTTAAGATTTTACCTTTTTATCATCTTAATGCAGTTATTAGAAAATTTAAAGATACGTTATGTGGCTTGTATTACATTTCTAGTGAGCAGTGCTGCTGCTTTAGAGAATAAATACATCAAAGTATTCCTTCCAGCCTTCTCGACTGGTGTGTCAAATCTGTAGCCATTTAGTGAGGTCAAGTTAGATTTGCTCTTGGAAGTATCACTTAACTTGCAGAGTATATTCTGATATTTCCCTTTGTAAAAGATGTAAAGATCTATCAGTTCAAAACCTAAATTGCATGTGAGGTCAAACATTGGTTTCTGTTGATTTTCTGCAAGTGGCACAAACTAGCGTACGTGCATAAATCTAGAGAGTCTAGTAGGCGAAGTGTTGAATGCCCTTGGAGCAGTAGTGTAGTGTTGCAGTTACTGAAGAAGTGTGCTTTACATGTTTAACCCAGGAATGGTTCCCCAAGGTCACTGAGGATTATTTTAGAGGAAGTTGAATGTTTCTGGGAGGCAGAAAGTTTGTTTATTTTTCTGTTTATATGTGCCATGTTTCATTTTAGTCTGAAATTACACTTCACATTTAGTGATCATTGAAATAGCGGACCTGTGGGCTTGGGGATGGTGACATGGACTACATCATCTGTGCTTTCCCTGGTCACAACCTGTGATGATTGTAAACTATTGCAAATTAATTACATATTTCGGTTCTCTAGTTCTTTTAATATTTCACGGTGGGTTTTTTTTTTTTTTTTTTTTTTTTTTTTGGTGGCTATGTGACTAAAGGAAAAACAGAAAAAGTGAGTCTTGACAGGGAACTGGGAGAAGTTGTGTCTTACTAGTTTGGGGACGGTCTTCTTTACATGCCTGACGTAAAATAGATACTTCTGTGTCTTTTATTTGAAGCGTCTGGAGATCGTTTTGGGGTGGAAGATGATCTAGTCCTGTCCTCGAGCAGGAGTTTGGAATATTGAGTGTTTGGTGGAGACACTTTGAGATTTTGACAATGAAGTCTGAATTTGTGTTGTATTTTTTTTTTTTTTTTTACCTGTCAGAAATGTGTGACAGATCGTGGTGTTCTTGTAGTTCACAGGTGCATGGGTGAGGATTTTAGCTTTATGGTGATTGTATAGTTTAAATTTATTGATTTATGTTATAATTTAAAATGGGATTCTATGTTAATAAGTTTTAAAATGTATGAGTTCATATTGCCTGAAATCTATGAAACCTTATACTCTCTTGACTTTGATGTTTAACTTTCATGTGCAGTTAATTAATCAGAATTCCATTATGGTTTTGAAAATAATTTTTACAAGCTTGTCAAAGTAGGTGACAGATTTAATTCTTCCTCGGGGAAGAAATGTAAAGTGTATCTGTGTACATTCAGGAAAAAGTTGGTTGAAATAAAACTCAGCAAAACCAGAATTAGACAAGACTAAGAATTCTCTTAGCTCCCGTCCTCCCTTCTTGTGCTTTATTAATAAAATATTCTTATGTTATATATTCCCTTACTATTATATGTCTAATATGTGTATATCGAGAATGATCTTAGGGTAGACTTACCTGTTGAATTAAGTGTGTGGTTTTAAACAGGTTTGAATATATTTTTGATAGTAATGATATTTCTTTTCCTGATAGTATAAAAGTTGGATAAAGGACTATTTCCAGTGATTTGATGGCATTTTAGTTTTTAGGTAGTGGAGTTCCTTAGACCAGAGCATTCTCAACATAGGGATTTAATATTTAAGGTAGTGGCCTTGATTTATATGGTTTACATAGTGTATCGTGCGTTATGGTATAGTTGATTCATCAGTGAGAATGAAGGGAAGTTGTGTTACAGGTATTTCCATATCTGTTTTTGGAGAAAGTGATTGACTAGAATTGTTGAGTACTGTGCTATTAAGACATTTATGTTCCCTCTTTCCCAGAGGGTGCCCTTGTCCTTTCACAGTAACCACTTATAGACCTTTAGGAGGTTGCTAGATCTTTAACTCAACCTCTGATTCTTTCTGTATATGATAAAAGCACAAATACGCACTCTTAAAAAGTTCTTTAATATGTTGAGGTTGAATCCGTGTCAAAGTTGGATATTCAGGGACGTTTGTAAATAGTTTTTGGATGTGGGAAAGGCCTTACTGGAGGGGGACGTAATAGTATCAAGTGTGTGCTTGCAGAACTTGAAAAGGTACTTTAATACTTGTAAATTTTGCTAGCAGCATCCTTCTTTAAAAACAAAATTAATACAAGAGGCAATTAAGTTCTAAACCAGAAGTTGGCAACTCTTGATTTGCTCATAAGCCTCTCATTGTCTAACTGTGGGTGAACCGTACCTCGTGAGGGCTGTCGCCACTTGCCACCATTTTCTAGGGTAGTCTAGAATTTTGCTCCTCAGAGGGTGATCTTCAGGTCAGCAAGGTCCGCATCGCAGGTAAGATTGTTAGAAATGCAGAATCTTGCCTCCCCCCGCTGCAGAACTACTGAATCAGAGACTGTGAATTTCAGCAAGAATCCCGGTGAATCAAGAAGTGTATATTAAGGTTTCAGAAACATTGGTCTGAGTTCAAATCCTTGATCTGCCTTTTATTAGCTGTGCTATTTTAGATCAGTTAGGATATATTTCTGTCTTTCAGTTTTCTTAAATGTAAAATGGAGATTAAAATAATTCCCCTTCTACAGGTTGAGGATTAAATGAGTTGTTATGTTTTAAAGTTTTGTAATGGTGTAAATTGGGTCAGTAAAGTGACCACAGCATAGTTAAGGGGAGAGAGGCAGGTTAGACACCTGTCCTCACTCTTGCTGGCATTTTTCCAATGGATCAACATCGTACTCTAGGAGTAATTTTATTTTAATCAATTTAGCATCTATTTATTTGAAGACACATCAAGCAAAACAAATTTTAGATATATATTTATTAGTTAAAGGAGTTCCTTAGAACTTGAGTAAAAAAGAAAATTAACCTAAGGACATTGGGCAAGGATGAAGGACTAGTATATCCCTTTTAGAGGAATATACATAAAGTTAATGATACTTAATTCAATAGAGAATGATCTCTCTCTGCAGTAAATTACAATGAAAAAATTTTGAAAATAAGGGTGATAGTTACGTTTTCCCTTTTTAAAATATCCTGTTTTAAAAATGTGCAGGTTTACTGAGAATGAGATTATATCAATATTTGTAAAACTTGGATTCTGAATTGATGTAGTTTACCAGTAACCTAAATATAGCAACTTTTTTCCTTGCCTGTGATTTTGGAAGCTTTTTGTAATTGGTATATGAAGGCAGGTAATAATCAAAATAACATGTGATATCTACATTGCTTAGTTGGTTGCTTATACAGCATTTTATTTTATTTCATTTTGTTTGGGGGAGGGAGGCAGAGAGGTTGAGCCTGGATCTCACAACCTTGAGGTCATTACTTGAGCTGAAATCAAGAATCAGGTTGCTTAATAGATGAGCCACCCAAGTGCCCTTACAGTGCTTGATTTTTTAAAGTCCTCCACATTTACAGATAGATTGCTTTTTTTCTTTTTTACTTTACGTGTGTTGTTGTGGTTGATATTAGGCAGCATGTGCTATGTGA